TTAGCGTTTAAGGCCACATTGTTGGGTTCTGGATCGGGGTTGCTTAGTTTCGGTAGCTGGGTTTCGGTCCGTGAATGTGAAGATTTGTTTACGGTGTTAAGCGTGTCTCGCGAAATCTTCATTCAGACTCAAGTGTTTGTCATTTAGGACATCAGGCTCTGGATGTAGATGTTGGTTTTTGACGGTTTCACATGGGTCCGAGCATGCACCTTCTCTTATGGGAGCGATGGTCTCGAAAGTGGCTTCGGATGCTTGCAGCGTTGGGCATTTCTCCATATTTCCATGGCAGGGTGGAGCTTATGCCCCTTCACAACGATGAAATGTCGTCGACTGGAAGAACACAGCTCAAGCTCCTAAACCCAAAGGCCTCCTAAACCCAAAGGCCTCCGACCCGCTCAGCACAAAAGCCCCTCAGCCGCGAACCTGGTTCCAGCCCAGAGCCCTAAACACGGTCAGCGAATGAACCTTAGCTCTAAGGCCCTAAACCTTAAGCCTTAATCCTAAACCGAAAAAGGTGCTCAAAATAAAAATCCTAAACCGTTACGCCCTAAACCGTAGGCCACAGGACCCTTACCCCGCCAGCCTTGAGCTTTCCCAGGTCGCTGGGCCGGCGACTGAGCTTGTAAGGTGGATGCGAACATCGCTGTGAGCCGTGCTCTTTGGGGGTTGGGGGGGTTCAGGAAGCAGGATAAGGGCAGTGAAGGGGTTCCGGATCACTCTAGGCCCCTGAACGTAGGAGCTGGGTTGAGGGTCCAGGGTTACAATGTTACAAGTTGATGGGGTTTGGGGCTTAATCACATGTTAAGGGGGAAGGGTCTGGGCTTCAAGACGATCGACTTTATTCGTCGCAAAGCCGGCACCCTAGGTTCAAATCTTAGACTTTGATGGAGTCGAAAGCCTGTAGCAAACCAAGAGTTGCCCAAGCCCCCAATCCCGTGTTACTTATGCCAGAGGTAGCACTCCGGATTTCTAAACCTTAAAGACCCTAATCCCAAGCCCTCCCCAGTACTCAGGACGGCTCTTTGCAGTTATGGTCCTGGCTCCACCAGTGCGCCCCCAGCGCATGCATCTTGTTTGCAGTCAGCTGCGTGCTGGTAGACTGATTGTTGGGCTACGTGCACCCCCCTATTCTTATTAAAGCCCCTATGATAAACACCTGCCCGGGCCTAGGCGACGAGTTCACAGGTAGCGCGGTGCTCAACGGGTGCTGGGCTCCCAGAAGTCCTTTTGCATTTGGCTTGCGTGCGCTGTACCTTCACCCGGAATAACCTACCTTTTTACGGACTCATATAAAGAAATCAATAAAAGGAGCCCTGAAAAGGTAGGTTATTCGGGGTTAAGATAGGGCTATGAGGTTTGAGGTTCAGAGTTGAATGGCTATAGGGAGAGTGTCTAACGTTTAAAGGTCATAGGGGGAGTCGGTTTGTTTGAAGTTTACAGGGTTGTTGAAAAGTATTGTTTCATGTTGTGGCTTTATCGGGGTCAGGAATTTGAGAATGTGTGCTCTTGTTTTAGGGTTTGTGGTTACTTGCTGAAAGTAAGATCAGGTCTACCCTAAAAAGTGAAAGCTTGTGGTTTTCGCCGTCGATTTAGATAAAGTTGAAGCAGCTGGTTTTAGCTTATTAGGTTTTCGGGTTTGCCGCTCTTCGAAAATTTGCGCCCTGAGGCCTGAATCCATATTGGTTCGGGGTTGGGCAGGGGGGTATGCTTTTGGTTTATGGAGTTCATGTATGTTATGCTTCAGCAGCCCCCTCCCTGGCAATAGAAGCTCGAAAAGAGTTGTCGCAGTTAACTACCCATAGGCCCCAAAGTAGTTCCTTGTTGGGATTACCTTATAGGATTCTCTATATGAACCCCAAACAGGAACCACTTTGGGGCCTTTGGGTAGGTTAATTAGGCTGGAATTTATCAGTTTTGAGGGATCTCGCCTCTGCCCTGGCTCCTGCACCTGCTGCTCTGGTTCTAGCTCCTGCTCCGGCCCTGGCTCCTACCGCTAGCTTTTGCACCTGCCCTTGGTCCTGCTCTTGCACTTGAACGCCAATTCAATTCCTGGAGTGCTTTCCGGAAGTGTTCTTCTGTATACATGATGTGGGGTAGTTGCTGAAAGAGCCGTAGAGTTTCCAGCACAAAGGCTTCCACAGAAACACGAGCGGCTTCCAGCACTGCGCGGTGATACCGGCTACAAACACATCAGTTCAGACTGTTCTCTGGTTCAGTTGTCTTGGAAGCTGTTTTTTCGCGAGGCGCCCGGAACCGCCGCTGGGCAGAGGCGGTCGGCACGCTGGCGACGTTGCTGGCGTGGGGAGGAAGGCCGTTCGCTTTCCGTTAAAAATTCCTGCTTGTGGATGTAGCAGCATAAGGGAAACCTAAGAAGCCCGAACTCCTGCATGTTTTGTCAAAGGACTCGATTGTTGCTAAATGCAACCCTACAGTACGCAGTAAGTACTTGGGAATATTGCAAACCTCACGAAGGTCTGCCGAGTTGAAGAGACCCTTTGGTAGACTTAGACTTTGGAAAGCTACAGGCTGAGGACGTCGGAGTTGAAAAGACACTGTTGATTCTTAGTTTCAATGGCGCTGTGATGGTTTCCTGTGCCGTCGCTGCTCTGCTATACTGGTCTGCAGGCACTGCAGGAACCAACATAAAATCCAACATATAGCAACTTGTGCCCCGAACCCTGCCCTAAGCCCTCACAACCTAAACCCTAACACCCTGACACGCTGAGCCGCTGTGGCAACGCTGACCTAAGATCTTAAGTGCTCCATGTCGTTCGGCTCCCTGGCTCTTTCGGTTGACTACCTAGACCCTCCATCTACCCTCTAATAGACCCTAAGTACCCATTATTTGGGGCCATATACCCCTATTTGAGGGGACAAGGAGGGTCCTGGTAAGGTTCAGGCTTTGGAGGGTTTCGGGGCCGAGGGATGTCCTCGGCTTCGGTGCTTAGCGCTTCTGGAGTTGCGTGGTACACTGAGCCGGTGACATTCTTCCCCGCATGACCCGACAACGCATCTATTCGTAAGTATGTTTGGGGACCCTTAGACTGCAACGAGGCACAAAGGGCTCAGTAAATTCTGGGAGTCAGCTCCCATGCTCGTCAGGACCCCTCCCAAGCCTGAAAGCCCTGAATCAGGAAGACCAGATTTCGACAAGCCCAGCCCCAAGTATTTCCCATGCCCCAGAAAAGCGTCCCGACACATCTACAACACATTACAACATAGTACATATAAGACATACATTAAAAACATACATATATAGATATTTGTATACATATACACAAGTATGTATGTATGTATGTATGTATGTATGTATGCATATATAGGTATGTATGTACCTATTTCAGTATAGCTTGTGGATGGCTTGCAAACCCCAGAAACCCTAAGCAACGAGAAGCTGTGAACTCTTTGGTAAAAGTTGGGAAGCCTGCATTATGTTACGGGTGTCTTGTTATGAGTTCCTTACATATGTCCGTGAGCAGGCAGCTTTTCGCAATAAACCCCCAGCCTGCACGCTTTGCCCGAACCTCGTGTGGCTGGTGCTCGAAGCCCAGTAAGTAATTAATCTGGCGCCCGTGAGGCTCGATGTTGTCACGTGCAGCGCCGTTTGCGCCTGAACTGGCCTGGAAGGGGAAGACCCAACGACGTTTTGAAGTGGATATACGGTGCCTTTCCGCCTCACATGACAGACATATTCCATTTAAAACTTTCGTTAGGGGAGCGGCTCCGGGTATACTGAAACATTGGCAAAGACTACAAGTCAGGGGATACGTGAAGTAGGATGTGGAGAAGTAGGTTTATTCTGAGGGCAGACAGCGGAGCCCGGGAGCTGTCGATGAAACAAGGCTTGTATCTTTGTTGATCCATGAGCCATCTTTGGTGATGTGTTCCTATAGGGCGTTGCACCTCCACGGAATAGGAATAGGTATAGCGGGATGCTCCTAGATAACTGTCAATCTCAGTGTAGTTGAGACTTGTAAGCCCAATAACTTCTCTGCGATGGTCTGCTACTGAGGCCGTAAGTGCTTGCGAGCGCGCCCGGGGCCAAGGGCTTGAGCGTCTTTTCTTGCTTCGGCTCTGAACCTACTATAGTGGCCTAAATAAATTACCAATACTATTTTGGGGGTTCCTTCTTATGATCATAGTAATTATCATAAACCCCAAAGCCCTATTCTAATTATTAAGGCCCCTAATATAGGACCCTACGACAGATCCCCGTATGGACCCTTTAAAGGAACCCCTACTATCATTATTATTATTATTATTGTTATTCTTATTCTTACTATTCTTCTTATTATTATTCTTATTATTATTATGATTATTATATAATGCTCCTATAGCATGCAGCCTTGCCGGGCCCGTCTGCCAGGCCCACCGCGCAAGCTTCACCCAAAGCCCCGAAGTCTGCAAGCTATATACACACCTGAACCGAACCCCGAAACCCTAAACCCTAAACCCTAAACCCAACCCACAGCCTATAACATGGGGGCCAGCATTCTGGGAACAGGCTTTTTGGGAGATATTATTGCAGTATAGATATAAAGGGTATTCTCGCTTGAACTGTTCACAGCCTTGCGCACCTCTGCCGGTGAGCCTTTCTTCATTCCGGGGACGGCTGTCAGGACATTTGGGGCTCGCGTTGAATCGAGGAACCCGCTTATGATTTTCAGAGCAAAAGAGGTCGTGACTTGGGGGTTTGGAACATCAGGGTTAAGGGTTTGGGGTGCGGTTCTTATTCTAGCACGCTTCAATCTCGACATCATGGTGTCCCGATTAAAGACGAGACACATGATCGGACGATGCTTCAGAGTCTCGCTAGGCCTGCCAGCGGTGCCCTTGTCCCCTTTGTTCTCCCAGCTGAAACTGAACAACATGAACAAGGGTACTGTAGACATATCCCAAACCCTGTTTTGGGTGTACACTTGTTACCCCAATTTCAAAGGGTTGCTGGGGAACTTGGCTTCGGTGAGGCTCAGCCCTCAGAGTGGCCCCGGGCCCTTCGCATGCTTCGTGAGACGCCGGAGGAGTTGAGATTGAAAGCTTCTTCTTGTCAGGGTAGGGCCTCAAAATCCTAAACCCTAAATGACCCTTAGACTTGTCAAGCTCTTTTCTGAGGCCAGATGACCTTAAACCCCAAGCAACTGAAACCAGCCGAGTGTAAACGTCAAACACCTCGAAAACCCCTCAACCCCCTGCGTAGTGCCAGCGTGCGAGTCGAAACCCCCAAACCCTACCCCTAAATCTTGAACCCTGACACCTAAGCCCTAAACACCTCAAAAGCAATAAACCCCCAACCCCAAACCAAGTGTGAAGCCGCTTTCGACTGTTGCTTCGGAGCTACCCTGCAATGCGGGCTTTGTCCCTGCTAGGTAGGAGGGAAAAAACCTTAAGCCCCAAGCCCTAAACCCTCAAAGGCCCCAACAACCTGGCTCATCCTGGTAAGGAATTCTAGCTGTTCGGCAGTCAGAGAAGAGCCATCAACAACAAAAAACTAAGCCCTGAAACCACAAAACCGAGGAGCCTAGGTGTAGGTTTCCAAGCTTTCCTGTTCCGACTCCCTGAAGTTCGGCCGCTCCAGGGTTCAGGGTTTGGGGATGCTTAGAGGCCTTGAAGGCTGAAGTTTAGGGTTATTCAGGTTCGGGCCATATGGTTTCGGGTTTGTGAGGTTTAGGGTTTAGGGATGTTTAGAGGCCTTTAAGGGATCCTAGAAGGGAGCTCTGAGGGTTTCGGGGTTTTTAGGGGTTTAAACTTTCGGGATTAGCGTTTAGGGTTCAGGGTTGAGCGTTTAAAGTTTCGGGATTAGAAGGTTTGGGGTTCGTAAGGTTCAGGCCATGTGGTTTCGGGTTTGTGATTTATCAGGGTTCATACCGTTCTGGCAGCTAAGGAGGCCAGTTTCAACAAGTGGGCTCATAGGGTTACGGGTTGATAGGGTTCAGGGTGTATGAGGTTAAGGGCTCAGGGTTCAGAGTTGAGGGTCTTGTACTTCGGGCTTTGAAAGGGCCACCCGAAGACTAGACCGAACACTCAAGGCCTAAGGGTTATCTACACCTTACGGTTAGTTCTTGCAGGTTTTCTTAGTGGTTGAGGCCCTCGCAGGCACTCTGAGTGTAGGGCCTAGGATATGGGAGTTTCCGAAAATTGGGGACCCTTATTTTGGGGTCCTTATAATAAGGATCCTACTATTTGGGGTACTATATGAGGGTCCCCTATTTTCGGAAACTCCCATATTGCAAGAAGGAAGTTGAGCCTTCCGAACATGTCCGTAAAACTTTACCCTAACTCACACCCCGCAAGACGTGTCGCGATTGGAGGATCCCAACGAGTTCACTTTCAGTGCCGCAGCCAGCGCCTGTGAGAAGGCCTCAGCTTAAGGTTTCAATGCAAGGGTTTTGGTCGAGGGCGCATTGCCGCATCTTCAGCTGTTGTCTGCTATGCCATACGGTACTCTTCCATTCTATGCTATACGAGATCATACACGAAAGGCTGCATTATGGTGATTGAGGCTGTTTGAGAATTACGTATTTGTTGTGTGCTGTGTTCGATTAGATGGTACCGCAATCCTTGAGCTGCTGCTGCTCCCGCGAGTCCTCGTCATATTACCATCTACCACTGCCACTGCTCCTGCTCCTGCTGCTGCTACTACCAGTACCACTACCACTACCATTACCACCACAACCGCATCTGCTACAACAACAACTACTACTGCTGCTACTACTACTACTACTACTACTACTGCTACTGTGCCTGCTCCTCTGCAGTGAGCGCAGGCAAATCTCTGGCAGAGTAGCCTCGGATTGCTCTTCGAGCTGCGGCAGTGGCCTTGGCATATTCTGGTTTGTGGTTTCGCAGACCGTTGCATAGGAGTTGTCGGGCTTTTCATTTTAAGTGCAAGGGCTCAGGATTGCTCCTGAAGAAGATGGGAGTTTCCGAAGATAAGGGGTACCTTATTCTGGGGTCCTTATTATCAGGATCCTACTATTTAGGATACTAGATTGGGTCCCCTATTTTCTGGAAACTCCCAGCTGGTTTGGGTGCTGGATGGTGCTTGGGCGACCTGCCCTGCAGCACACCGACACCACTAGAGCCTCCAACTCGCCGAAGGCCAATGTACAAGACAGCCAAAGAGTGTGAGAGTCGAAGCCCTGTGCCGCGAAAAGTGCAGAAGGCATAAGATGTCAGGCCGTCCATACACACTAAGTGCCCCAAAGAAGCACAAGCCTCAGAATTTATGCCTCCTATGCCCTGGAGCTACAACCTATCGTCCGAACATGTCCGAACCAGCCCTGCGAGTTTCTGCATGAGGGTTTATAGAGTTTGGGTTTTACCGGTTCGTGCTTGGGTTTTTAAGCTCACGGTCTAGCGCAGAATGGTCACGGGTCGGGGTCGAACGGCACGCAAAGGATCGAGGATCCCCTCACGAGGCCCCTTCAGGATTGAAAGTTGTTGTCAAACAAAGACGTTCGAAGTCCATCAGCCGCTGACCACACTTGAAGCCCTTGCATTTGATGTTGGAGGGGCCCTGCGTTTTGATTCAGGATTGCAGAACCGTAGGGGCTTGCAGACTTTGCTGCGAAGGCGAACACCACGAAAGCGAGGCACACCGTCGGAGCAAGGCCAACATGGAATTTCATTGTTTATTCAAGTTTTTTATTGTTACGAATATATGTTTGTCATTTCTTCTTTGTGCGGAGACTAATTTTGTATTATTAATGTTTAGTGATGTTTCTACGAGTTTTGTTGTCATTGCTATTGATATGATTGCGAAACTCGTTATTGTGATCTGGATTCTGGTTATTAGTATTGCAGGTTTTATTGTTCGAGCTTCTGAAAGGTTGGGGCAGTCGGGATTGCAGCACCTGCTCAGCGACCAGAATTGCGCCTAGAGTATAAGTAAACTGCGCAGGTTTCACGATTTGATTTGCATTCGGTGGAGGGCTGCTCCCTTCATTTCATGATCAAGCTTCGAAGTTACCCCAAACCCCCTCAGCTTTAATTAACTAGTACCCTCCTCCACCGAAGTCCGACAGCCCGGAGCCCCTCAGTTAAGCCTCACAGACACCCTACGAAGCTCCGCGCTTTAATTACTCCGCGGGCACACCCTAAACTGAAGAAGAATCCGCAAACCCCTCGAAACCCAAATCCTGAACACATGGGTGCTCTTGAAGTAAAGGCTCTGTGTTGACATACCTCACACTTTAAACCGACGCGTCAGCTGGGCGGGTGAGAAAAAATAAACCTGCGTGGCAGGACCAAAGACCGTCCTTCAACCGACAGTGGTCAGCCACGCGGCAACTCTGAGCGCCTGCGCCGGTGGTGCGGGGCTTGGACTAGGGCTAGCGAACATTCGGGTCAGGGTTTCTTTGAGGGTTGCATTCGTCTAAAACGAGGCTGTGTTTCTTAGTTTGCTTAAGGCGTGAGTAAGTAGTAGCAGTATTCCTGTTTAGACCTTTAAAAATTACAAACCGGATATATCCCCTGACAAACCTTAGACCTTGTTCGAATTATCAGGGCCTCCATGTCGATCCGCTTTTGGCTGTTTGTGCATCGATGTTTGGGGGGTGAGCCGAGCGATCTCGGGTGCTGGGCTTCGGATGCAGATTTACTTGGCATCATGCCCTGTGCCCAGAAGCCTTAAACCCGAGGCCGAAAATGGCCGTGGGTGATGTGGCTCTTTCAGAAGATCCAGCACCAGAAAGGCAAGACTTTAGGCATGTAGGGGTTCTGAACCGGGCTTGGGGTCTAGGGGTGCAGGTTTGGGGGGTGAGGCGATTGGCTTCAAACAGAGGTTTGGGATCGGTTTAGGATTGAGAGCTTTGTGGATTACTTTCTCAGTTTTTAATGCTTCAATCTTCAAAACCCTCCATGTACCAGCGTAACACGCAGGCACGCGTCATACTGTGGTTATTGAACCCGAGCCCGAAACCCTCAACCCTTGAGGGCGCAAGCGCCAGCCCTTCAGCTCTAAAGCGTCCTAGTCCATAAGGCCGTCAACCCAATGATCAATGGAACTATATGGAGCCGGTGAAAACAAGTCTTGAAGGACCCTATATAACGTCTAAAGCACAGACTTGTTCCGAACAGCACGCCAAACCACCAACCCGATTCCACTTTTCTCAGCCAAACACCCGGCTAGACCTGGATGTGGTCGTCTTCGGTGCCGTGATCACGGCTTGCGATGCCTTGGGGGGAAGGTGGGGGGAGCGCACGAAAGAGTCCGAAACACACGGAAGATGTGGGTCCGCTAAACCGAAGGAAGTCACTAGGCCCCCAAAGGGATCAGTATTACCAAGACCCCCGAGTACCCTTTAAAGGGCTCGAAGATTTCTCATCAAGAGGGAATGGTAGTTAGGGGGTCCACAGGTAACCCCTAGAAGGCCCAATGCCTACTTAGGTGCATTCGCTCGAGGGCTGTCCGGGGATGCTCCCAGACCTTCCAAAACCCCTTAATTAAGGAATATACTTTAAAATCATACTAGGGACCCTACTACAATTTAATGTATATTCCTTAATTAGGGGGTTTTGGAAGGTCTGGGTATGCCAGGTCTTTTCGTGGAGGATGTTTCTGGTTCTTTGCGTAGGGTTTTGTATGTGCGGGGTTGTGCTTCGGGCCTCCGGCTGAGGGTCCGCATGACAAGGATCACATCGTTCAGGGTGTATCCGAGGGTGCCCTATGTCTCGAGCCCCAGTTCACACTTCCCTCCGTCATGATCAGAACTTTCAGTTGCATCATATACTACGTGCAGGGGTAGTTCTCTAAATTAGTGGTCCTGTTAAGGGTCCTTTTAAAAGGGTGCCATACGAAATGTGGGACCTAAAATGGGACCCTACTTTAGGGAACTACCCACATAGTGGCAATATGTTCTTCTCACGGCTTCATGTTGGTAGCTTTGATGGGGCTCCTTCATCCGAGCCACCTTGCCTTAGGGATCTAAGGACTCGGCTTTTGGGCCCAAAGACCATACTATATAAGGCTTTTGGGCTATGTTGATCGCTAGGGTTGGATTTGCTGCAACTGCACCTGGAACATGGAATTCAGGCAACGGCCGCTTAGGTTTCGCAAGACCATCTCAGGTATGGTACTGCCTTATCACGAGTCAAAGAATCAGGCAAGGACAACACCAGCAGAAATGGTAGCTTAGCAAAGGCGACTCGCCTTTGTGTAGCAATGGACAGAGAGCACATGTTCGAACAGGTATATACATGTGTGAGTAGGCTGCTAGGAAGGAAGGCAGGGAGGGAGGTGATTGATTATGTATGTGCGCATGCATGCACACATGCATGTATGTGTATATGTCTTTGTGTGTGTGTATGTATGTATGTACGTACGCATGCATGTATGTATGTAGTATGTACGTCCGTATGTGAGCATGTTTATGTGTATGCATACACTGTCTGTATGTCTTTTGCACACACATTCTTTGTGTCTGTGCACTGGTTGATCTAGTCGTCGCCATGTCAGAGTCAGTGTAGGCCTGCGCATGTAACTCTAAACACTATAAACTCCAAACCTAAACCATCCCTATGAACGCTGCGCTTGAACCACGGGCAAAGGCTGACTCTAAACACCCTAAATTCGTAAACCCAAACATCGACCCTATAAACCCCAAAACTACGGAGCTCCCTGCAGGTACTGGCAGCTGGTCCGGAGCTTAGAAAGCTGCGATCTTCCCATGGTTCGAAGTCTCAAGGTACTAGCAGTCTTAGTCATGGTAGCCGTAAGGATAGTAACCATAGATTAAGTCATTTTAATCGCAATAATAATCTGAATGGTAGAACAATGATAACAATGAGAATCATGACAGCAACTTCTCGACCCGCAGCCCTTGGAGCTGTCGTCTAGGGCTCGGAATTTATTTGGAGGTTGAAGCTTCGGAATCATTGTGGGTGCAAGGCCGTCCTTCACTTGCAAATTAAACGCTTGTACATCTCTTTTCGGGCGCCCGGAAGGACAAAACGTAAACCATGCTCAGATCGCAAAGGGGAGGATATTTATAGAACAGCCCTCGTGTAGTTGGAGATGCACTTGTGTCTAGGACTGCCTGCAGCTGGACATGGCTGAAACCTGATCCCTAATGTAAACCCTGAAGCCTCAGCACTAACTAGACTAACCAACATACCTTGAAGCAGGTCAATGTGCCAAATCTTCTTGGGGTCATATCCCGCTTTCAAGCTACGTTGGTTCCTCTATAGATCCCTTAAAAGAACCGCTATAGATCCCTTTAAAGCGAGCTTAGGGTCTAAACTCTCACCCCTAGGTAAACCCGAGACTTCCTGAACCAGGCCCTCCACCTCCTCCAGCGGGCGGCTGCACGCGGCCTGCGCACCAGCGCCGAACTCCTTGGTGCGGGTGTCGGGGCTCCCAAAAGCAGGGGCACGGGAGTTTTGGGGTTTTCTGCATGTTTTCGCCGTTTCAGCTTTAGGGATAGTTTGTCATAAGTTCTTCATGTCCCCCAAAGAGCCGTAAAGTACTGTAGGCCTCGTTTTTGCCGAGGAAATGTCTTCCCAGTGCCCCCTCCTTTAGGACCCTTCAAACCCTGCCAGCTGACAAGCCTGCGAGCATTCTATGCAAAGTTAGCTAAGCTCCGAAGTGCTTGAGTTCTGTGGAATCCCTGTAACCTACACTGATTGAAGCCATATCCGCCGTCGCAACGGAAGGATGGTTATGGGCTCATCCGGCCCCAAGCATCGCAAGTGTCGTGTTCAAGCTTGGCTGTTAGGTGATAGATTGCTTAAACTTGTCTGGAAAGGTTCTAATGGTTTTCCAGAAGTTCTCCTAAACTCGAACCCTAAGCCCTTAAACCCCTTGTTCCAAAACCTCTAAAACCCGAAGCACTTGGCCAAGGTGAAGGCTTGCGAGGCCGCTATGCAGTGGCCGTGGGCAGGATGCCCAGCAAGTCTTGGAGCCCGTTTTGTTTTGAGAGGGTTAAGGGTTTAGGGTTTAGGGGGTTTCTGTGTGTTTAGACTGCTTTTGCTTTTGAGGCAAGTTAAGGCAGCACGAGGGGGGTGAGAAGCTACAAGATGCACAGGGCCTGGGGTCTAGGCATCAGGGCTACGACTTGCAGGGGTTGAGGATTCTGCTTATTGCTGAGCTCCTGCTGGTGCAGGCGAGCAAAGCTTTTCAGCTTTGCAGAGCCTAAGTGTGGCCCACCCTTAGCAGTAGCAAGGAACACGATGGCAATAATGATGGTGCCGGGTGATTATTTGCAGAGCTGGTAATGCGTCGGTCTTTGGCTCTGCATCACTAAGAATGTGTTCTTGACTACAGTCTTGCCTGCGCTCAAGATGGCATCCGTGGTCAGGAGACTTGTCTGTAAACCGTCGCTAAAGTTGTAAGCCGAAGCAGCAGGAATTCGCAAGCAGTGATGAGAATGCAGCAGGCAGCACACAATCTAGAGTCGAATCTAGAGCATCGGATCACGAAACGCACATGGACCCCGACATCATTCTGCAGAGCTGCTGTATGAATGTACATGCAGATACACACAGGAGCTTACATTCTCAACATTTCTCAACGTATGTGCACCGACATACGTATTCGTGCATGTGCGTGTGTGTGTGTGTGTGTGTGTGTGTGTGTGTGGGTTTATGTATGTACGCCTGTGTAGTGTAGATGTATATGTACATATATATTTTATGAGTATGTGTGTATGTGTCTGTGTGTCATGCAATCAGTTGTACGGTACTGTTCTGTGATGTGATGTAATGCATTGTGTTATATGGCAGCCCCCTGCTGTGACCAACATCACTCACCTCTCCCCCGAATCTGCCTCTTCGTGTCCCCTCTATGTGTGCATAACATACGTTTGTTCGTGTTTATACATACATACGCATGCGTGCTTGCATACACATGAGGCTTTGGGCACGTACGTTTTCATTCGAGCAATACTGACATCAATTGGGGTACCAACTTCCGCTACCAAGGCCGTGCAGCTTCTCCGCTACCACAGTGCTGTAGGAACAGAGCGCGGCGCTTTCACTGGGTTTGAGAGGCTGAAACTACATGAAGGTTTACGGATCTGACTCCTCGACTTTTGGGACCAGCTATAGCCCATTCAGTGGCAACCAAATTAGAAGACATTGAATCCGACCGTGTCGTATTCCGATTTTTCTTCACCATCGCAAGGCTTTCTAAAGGCCCAAAACCAATCAACACAATAGAAATTCAAACAGTAATGTCTCTAATCCGGATAGGACAACTCGTGGCAAGCATCCGTGTGGTAAACTCTAGACCTCAAGCCTCCGAACACCAGGCTCCCTCATACACCGTCGATCCGTACATACCCTTGACCGCCCATTCACCCGCATCCTGTACCTCAAGGTCCGTGGGTCCACTAGCGGGTCGAAGGACTACTTGCAGTATTTACGCTGCATGCCCACAGTGTCCAATCAACCATGACTCCTAGCCCTAACCCCTAGACCTCAAACCCTACTTCGAAAGCCTAAACCCTTATGCGCATACCTGCACACCTACATGCATACATACATAGATGCACATGTCTATGTATACGTATACGTATTACACACACACACACACACCCACACCATGTCAAGTTGTGTTTGGAATAGATTACCAGCGCAGCCTACAATCATGGCGCGCCTGCCCTGAGCTATCGATGCATTCAGGCACTGGGTTGAGCTTAGTTTCGGGTTTGGTTTAGTTTCGGGTTTGTCGGAGAAGGCGGTTTGTCCAAGCAACGTAGACGAGTTTCTATCGAAGAGGCGCATGTAGGGCTTCTGTCGAGCTGTACTCAGGACTCGTATCGGGCTTCGGTGGTTTATGTTGTGTTCGGGGTTCCAGGAGTATTTGAGTTCGGGTTTGTTTTGATAATTAGGCTTGCTTGTTCTGAAAGGGTTGCTCAAGTGTCAAGTAAGCTTACTTTGTTGGCGGGCTTGGGGGTGGTTCTGGGTGTATGTGTTTGGCTTAGGGCTCTTGAAGCCCTAAGCCATAAACCCTAAACCCTCAAAAACCAACCCTGTACCCTAGGCCCTATAGAGAAACATGGGACACTAAACCCTGGTTAAAACGACAAAAGAGAACCAAAAAAGACAAAATACAAAACCTGGAGCTTGAATATCTAGGAACCTCGTAGTCGGTGGTGGAGGGTCTTGGCGCATGTGCGCGAGGGGCTCTTGCTTCTGGGATGTAGGTTTAGGATTTACCCTAACCCCAAATAACTTACCTTTTTAGGGACTTATATAAAGAAATCATATTAGGGGTGCCCTAAAAAGGTATGTTATCTGGGGTTAAGGGGTCAGAATAGCTGGTATTAGTATCCCTTCGCAGTCCATATATGGGAGTTTCCGAAAATGAGGGGTACCTTATTTTGGGCTCCTTCTAATAAAGATCCTACTATTTAGGGTACCATATTAGGATCCCCTATGTTCGGAAACTGCCATATATATATATATATATATAGCACAGTAGAACCTCCGCCAAAGCCTTATTTTAACTATCAGGGCCCCGAAAGATAGATCTCGGTTCACCAATCCCACCGAACAAGCAGAACAAAACGCACACCCCAGCCGAAAGCCTTGTCGTTCAGACCCGAAACTACAGAGCGAAGCACAACCTAAACCCCTCTCCCCCCTACTATTCTTATGATCAGCCATTTGATTATTGAATTTGGCCCGAAACTGTATAATTCCACTATTAACCTAAGCCCAAGAAGCCCGAGACTTCTAAATCGCATTCATCTCAAGGGAAAACACCACAATCTCGGGCCATGCCCCAACTATGCAGCCACTCAGGTTGAATGCAGGGGGTTGAGAGTTGCATGGCCTGTGGTATTATGTACATAGGGTTTTGGGGCCCTGAACCTCAAACTCTGAAATTAAACCCTAAACCCTAACTTAACCCTTCTCAATGTGTTTAGGATTTTGGGGATTCTGGCCGGGCGAGCACTAATCAAGCCCGTGGAAAGGGAGGAGGACGCTTGCTTTCAGGTCTTGAGTTGAGGCTGCCCTCGTAATTAGCTTTTTCGACCGCCTCGGCTCCTCCGCAAGCTGTTGTTGGAAGGCCTTCCTCTTCCAGCACCGCCTCCTCCACCTGCGCCTCTGCCTCTAGGCCTGTTGCATGGCTTCAGAGTTGTTATTGCGGGCTGTCTCGGCCTTCTGAGCTTTTTCAAAGAGGGCTTCCAGGAATTATGCGCGTTGATGGCTTGGCCTCGGGCCTAGCCTGCATCCGACCCGATGGGGCGGTTCGAGACCACCCCTACGGGGTACTTCTGTCGCTGTTGCGTCTTAAACGGCTCCGGTGTCTCAGGTTGAACCCGATGCCCAAGTGATGTCGTTTTTCAGGTTGGGTGTTTTAGGAGGTTTCGTTCAGGGTTTGTATTTTACAGATTGCCAACATCCTATATAAAATCTTTCGCTGAGGTTTCAGCGTTTCGGCACCTCAACCCCTAAGTTGCCCATAGTCTTTGCCTCGCATCTGGTACTGCCCCGCCCTATCGTCAATACTCGGACGTGGTATCGGCAGGATTCGATAGGATTCGCCTGAAGATCCCTATGAGATCGGACTGAGTAGATGCCTAGTTGCTCCACATGACGCAAACACACCAGGACCCAATCTAGCTACCGGTTTCAATCGTTTTTGATTCCACTATAGTACTGTATACCCCGCAACCCCTATTGACATACTTGTTAAGGCGCCTACATTATGTCAGGTCTATACATGATGCTGTTCCATCATCTCAGTGTCCAAAGCTCGTGCAGGAGCACCGCCGCTAGCAGCCCTGCCTTTGCAGGTGGGCTCCCTCTCTTCTTCCCTACACACTCAACCGAACCTCTGCCGTCAGTTTTGGGTTTAGTAGCACTGTTACTTAGACTCAATTCCTTCTTTAGTTTAGGGCTTCGTAGCATTGGTACTTAGACTTAATTCCTGCTTTACTTCAGGGCTTAGTAGCATTGGAACTTAGACTTAATACCTTCTTTAGTTTATGGTTTACGGTTTGGAGATGGGGGGTTAGGATCTTCAGGTTTGAGGCGTCGGTGTTGGGCCTGAGCTGCAAACCGTGTGCGCTTTGGTAGGCTTCGGAAGCTTCTACGGGCCAGGATTTTCGAGCTGGGGGGGCACAACGGGGCTGGAAGGGTCTAGGCTTCGAACGACTGTCGACTTCCGTTCGCGGCTCTCATCTTCTGTGGGCGACTTGACTGCGGCTCTAGATCGTGGGGGAATTACCTTGTTGAGTTTATATGACCTTGGGTGTCAAAGGTTTAGATTACAGCGGAGCCTAGACTAGAGGTATGTGTCTACAGCTTCCGAGCTCCTCTTTGTTGAATTTGTCTCCGAATTTGCTTTTGAAATCCACGTCCTGCGATTCTCTCCAATGAGCCGCCAAATCCAGAACCCAGTCCTGAAACCCCAAATCCTCTGTAGAACCCTTCTAGCTGTCTTAAAGGAGCCCTACAAGGAACCGATTCAAGGACCCTAGGAGACACCACGTCGGTGCTCGAGGAGGGCTTCGACTGAGTCTCAAGGCCCAGCTGCATGCTGTCAACAGGTCAGAAGCGTAAGAAATGAAGTCAGTATGCAAAGCTGCGAGAGGGAGTAAGCAAGTAAAGTAAGCAAAAGCGAGTGCATGTAAGTGCATGTGGGTGTATATATATATATATATATATATATATGTAACTGCATGTATATGTGTATGTATACATGTATACATACACACACGTACATACATACATTGCGGATATACAGGCATATTCAGACATATGTATACATATATGTGTACACATATTATTTTATGATTTGTCTATACAATGTATGTGTATGCATATGTATATACATATACACATATGACACATATATATATATATAAATTCATACATATGCATTGTGCTGAATCGTCCCAGAAGCTTCTACAGCAACCAAGAGCCCCAAACCCCACAGCACCGTACCCCGAGTACGAAATCCATTTTCAATCTCATTTGCTTCAACACTATAACTAGGTGGCAACTTGCGAACGTACCTATTCATAAATATTTTTCAGGGCCGCGACACTACAACCAAGATAGACCCTGAGCCCCAACCCCAACCCAGGCGGGCAACAAAAGCGCAATCGTATCCCCCGCATCTTGAGTCGAGGTCGCCCCAGGCACGCATTATGTGGCAGCGACAGGACCCCTCTTTGTGGTTGAAGAGGGTGCAGGCTTCAGATTCAAGCACTGCAATACTGGTTTCAGTGCTTGATGTAGGGGCCTCATTGTTGAGACGGTTTTAGGGGAGGAATCCTCCAAACCCTATTCTACTAAGTACTAAGGCCCCTACACTAGGTTCTTCGGCAATCTGGTTTTTGGCGAGTCGTGCTGCTCATATCCGAGCAGCCGGGTCTACTTCTCATCATGGTTTCAGCATTGCCAATCTGCTGAGGGTGGGTTCTGCTCGAGGTTCGCCAACACTTACATGGGGGTCCCTTTCCCTGGGTCCATGTACTCATATAATATAGTATATACATTGGCCTTAATGTAGTCCCTATTTGGGTACTTTGGGGCCCGTGTATCTCTGTATGGGCACGTGGACCCTTCGGGTTTTGGATCTATGCAGGATCTCTATTAGAGTCTTATTCTCTGAAACACCAGTTTTTGCAGCAAGCAGGCATCACAAGCTCAGGGTAAAAGATGCGTGTCAGGAGCTGAAAGCTAAGTAGGTTGTGTGCTACCGGTAAGTCGTCTCCGCTTCTTCCCTGAACCCTAAACACCCAAACCCCCATAAACCCTACACCCCCAAATCCTTAACCCTTCAGGCTGTGCCTGTCGTTTCGAAACCAAGCCAATCCCCCCGCGCCAGGAATACCAGGACAAGTTGTGCAACAGTACCAGTCTCAGCGGTCAAGTTCCCCAAGGCTCCATGTGCCCATATAGTATCCCAAAGGGTCTTAAGTACTGATGCTTTCTCAAATCATGATAGAGAATTGAAGCCTTACATTCTACCATATAGCTACTTGGGACCCTTTAGGTAAATACTTAGGCCTTAGCAGGGTTCCTATGTAGGTACTTTGCGGCTTAAGTATATACTGTATTGCTACGTGGAGCCTTATTGGGTTGTTGATCCTGCTTACCCGAACGGGCAGAACCCTTGCATGTGGCTGAAGGAGGGACCAGGAGGGTTTACATGAGCGTACGTTGTGTAGTTACATCTGTATGTACATACCATGTTTATGCTCAGCTGTAGTTTATCTGTAACTGTCCGCGAGGGTAGGCTCCGTGTGTTAGCATTGTCTTTTGTCTCGTGCGCTTTGAGATTGCTTCTGCGCAGATCGTTGTGCCCCAACCACCTGTGAGCTAAGCACAACTCATCATCTAACGCTGATCTAAAAAGGTCCGCCCTTTAGCATCCCGGAGCTGCTGTTTGTGCCCTTTGTTTCGAGCTTTGCACAGTCCGTCGAGGCATGCTTTAAGCACCAATCCGTGTTCCTTGTATCGTTGTTAGAGGGGGCGATGTTTGAAGGGATTTCGGGGCCATATGCCGTGATCCCCATAGCGACATCCATTTCCTGTGCAGCCACTGCAGGGTCCAAGTGTCTGACAATCCCCAAGCCATCACGACACAGCATAACCCCGAGGGTTCAACGGACCCAATAATTATGTACTCGGTTTTGGGATAGCAGTTATGTAGGTTAGGATTTTGGAGAGTATGTGATTATTGGGTGCTTGCACCCTGGGGAACAGGTTCCGAAAAAATACTTTGAAGCATCGTACATAGAGAAACCGAGCCCGCATAGCAATAGCTGCAGGGTGACAGTTAACCAGTTAGCCTTTGTAGGATACATGTAAGTACGGCTACCAGCTACCACGATTAAGCAATCGATTGCTAAGGCCGGTTGCCGTGCAGCAGGTTCTGCTGCAACCAGCAATACAGGCTCCGACGGTCGCCGGCTACTTCGTTGCAAAGTTGGGATATCTGTTGTAGTTTGCTGGCTGCAAGACATGAGATTAAGACGGTCTGGGTCAAGGCTTTCGTGGAAGTACGACCAAGCAGTGGGTCACTAACTATTGCGGTTATGAACACAATCACACGGCTCTAGTATACAGTAGGTGTCTGAATAATTAGTACAAGCAGATGAACTACAGTATAATGTACCACAACTTCTGTTCCATGCACAAACGTCCCCTACACTATCCAAATCAGGCTTCAGGATCGAGTTTTGTCGGCTAATGTTGAGAGCTTTCGGAAACTGAATAATAGACCCAGAGCGCGACACTCCCAATCCCAAAACCTGAATGCAGAAAATCATGGAACTCCCCTCGAACTCTCATAGAGCCCTTCAGGAGACTTGCTGACGCCGTCGAGAACCCGTCAAGTTATAGACCCCTTCCTAAACCCCTTCTGAAAACGTTTGGGGTTTAGGCGGTGTGAATTTAAAGGGCCTGCTAAGTCCCGTAATAAAACTCCTTTGCACCCCGCCTTACAATAGACCCTGTAGCCTAAACCCCACACTCCGAGGACTGCCACCAAGTATCCTGGGTGGTCTGGGAGCCATTGCCACGGCTCCTGCACAGGTGGGGGCTTACCTGAGTAACCAAGGGACGTAGCTTAATCACGTGAATGTAGTAAATGCACCAACTGTTCAGGGTCATCTCCCTTTTTCCAAATGTTCACGAGTTACTCTAGGCAGGGGGTTGAGACGACTTTGTATCTAGACATGCTTTTGGTGGTTCTGACTCTCGAATTCAAAAGGGCTTGAGGGTCAGGAGCTTCGGTTTTTTCAACATTCGGGTTTAGAGGTCAGGGTTTTGCGGCATGGGTTTCAAATTCAGGGTTTAGAAGAATCCCTTACGTCAACTTCAAGGCTTACATGTTGCCATTTGTAGGCTTGGGGTTGGGGGGTATAGGTTTCGGTTGTTCAGGTTCAGGATTGAGGGTTCAGGACTCAATGAATGTAAAGTTTCAGTTTAGGGTGTAGTGTTTGGGAAAGTTGTGCTGTTGAAGATTCGGTTTCGGGAAGGCTTCGAAGGCGAGTATAGTTCAGGACCCGAGCGCTAAACCCTACACCCCGAAACCCGGCGTCCTGCAAAAACCAGCAGAATAAGATAACGAGTAAATTACGAATATCCCAACTCCGCCACAGCACCTATGCAGTTGTACTATGATTAACCCTAAACCCCAAGCCGTAAACCTTATGTCAACTCTAAACTCTACCCTAAACGACCTTCTAATACCCGAGGGGCCCCTCACCCTCACTTGGGAGCCTCAGTTATAAGCTTCAGGATTCGGGGCGTTGGTCTTCCGTCATTTCTGGGTCTCGGATTCGTCCCCGCCCCCCCCCCCCCCCCCCCCCCCCCCCTGCCGCGCACATCTATTTACGTGGTACAGTCACACTGTGTAGCAGCTAGCTTGCTGCCGGTGACACGTGATAACTTTCCCGGCGTCTGTGCATTGTGCTTGTAGCAGGTTTGACCAAAGAGTGTGTTTAGGAGCTTTGGGGGATTTGGGATTTAAGATCACGGATAGCTTCGATGGGTAAGTAGACCGCAGCCTTCACAAGACTGTCTCGCTATCTTAAGAAGCCTAAAGCTTGCTTTGGGACGGCATCTCCCCTTCGACACGAACGGACGGAAGCTCACCTTTAGATCTTAGATCCCGCCGACAGATGCCTCAGACCGTGGTCTTGCAGCTCCCACCACAACAGAGTCGGCCCCTCAAGACCTTGAATGAACCGAAGGTTTATACAGTTGTGAAATAAGCGTAACAGGCATAACATGGCCTTTGGTTCTTTCAGCAAGGTGTTCACGGAGAGCGGCTTCAGTACCCACCAAGCCATTTCAGAGTTTGAGCGCATTGGGCTTCAGAGAATTTCCCATGGTTGTTTCGGGAACTGAAGAACTTGAGAAGTATGGGGATCACAGGCAGGAGGCGTGTCGTGGCAATGGGTGGTGCATGTGCATGTGTGTGTGTGTCTCAGATTGTAGGATGACGAGCTCTTGGTGACTTCAGCACCGAAAGTCTGAAGAAGTGAGGCGCAGCTGTAGATGGCAAGCAGGCGCCATGAAACAAGGCTCACAACGCCCGCATGCTGGAATCTCATGGGGGGTTCCGAAAATTAGGGGTACCTTGTTAATTGCTTGGGGGTCCTTATAATAACGATCCTACTATGTAGGGTACTATTAGGCTCCCCTATTTCCGAAAACTCCCTTATAAGCCCTACATCCAAACTTAGGATCGCCTCGTTTCCGACGGGTGAAGAGCCGGCGCTTGGGGACTTTGAGGGCTTGACTATAGTTAGAGTTTAGAGTTTAGGGTTTCCAGAGTCCTTAAAACGGGGCTACGAGTTTCGTGGGCGCTGGCCGGCACCTCAGTCCGTGCTGAAAAGGGTTTGACTAGGATCAGTTTAGGGTTGAGTTTCAACATCCTGAGATCCGGCCCATAATCTCCTTAAGCTTGCAAAGGCTTCGCCGCGCCGCAGTTGATTCAGCTGCTCCAGGTGGAAGGGGGGGAGGTACTCTGCATGTCTTTTCTTATCCAGGCCGAAGCTTGGACAACTGAAAAGTGGGAAGCTGAAAATCTCGACCTTGACGAGGTTTGGTTTCTGTTGGGCTCCCTTACGTTGTGATAAGTTGTGATTGAAAGGACAAGGGACGTCATGACGGGCACTTATGCACGCAGCTGGCCATGTCAGACCGTTACGAATACCGAACTTCGAGCACCTTCATTCGAAAATGGTGGAGGCACCCGCACCCCAGCAGCCGCTGCTGCAACCGTTCTCGGGCGGCAGATCTGTCCCGTTCGTTTTGCGGCGCAGGGCCTAAACCTGTAAGCAAGGTCAGGAAGCCTGAAAACCCGAAGCCCTGACCCTTGAGAGTGGACCTTCAAGTCCGGATTCATATGGAACTTGTTGAATTCTAGGCTACCTTGCTTTCGGCTCCTGATATTGATGGTCCTACTATCTAGGTGCCCCTGCATCTCCACCTATACTGACTATTGAATGTCTTACTTATTCCTACTATTTAGGTGCGATTTTCTGAACCCCATTTTCCGATCCCCTGGGACAGCCTTGCGTAACGACGTTGAGGCTGAGGATGCGCTACGTAAGTCTTACGGGTTTGGGATTTCGGGTTTCAGTGGCAGGGTTACGAAGAGAAAGAACTCTATGCTGGGGGTAACCCCAATAAGGATCAATTAGGGCACCCATCACACCAAGTGTAACTCTATTGAAACAGCTCCAAAAGGGCTTTGGGATGCATTGTGCCGGAGAATACTATATAGAGAACAGGGACCATAAGCGGGATATATAGACTCCCCCAAGCGGAAAGGCCGTTCTTTGAGGTTTGAAGGCGTTGCACATGACAGGAGAAGGCAAAATGAGGTTTCCTAGTTTTTGACCCTACACGCCCATCTGTCTGTGGTTGAAGAATAACATCATTAGAATTGGCTTCTGTAGATGTTCTTGTAAGGGTGTTGTGTGGGCTTTCAAGGGTTCTGCAAGCTGCATGTTTGGGTCCACGCAAGATCATGAACTCACAAGTTTCAAGGAAACTGCATGCCGAATAGTCTGGGCGCTGGGTGCTCATAGCTTCATGATCGGGCAATCTACGGGGCGTGTTCGTTGCAATTCCTGGCTTAGTTTGGATTCTTTCTTGCTTTATCAAAGTTGCACTGTCCCTCCAGGTTTCAGGTGCAACCGCCGGTGCTGGCTGTGCAGCAGCAGCCCCTGCTCTACCCTTAGCACTGCAAGGATCCAGGAAGCCACAGCTGGAATACTTCAATGGGGTCTTACTGTCGTAGTGAGCACGCTGCCCATGATCAGGACAATGTGCGGGATTCCATCATGGCATTCATGCGGGCCCTAAACACATTCTGGGATGGGATTGTTGACGCCAAGGATTCCCGTTGAGGCATCCGAGAGCCTGACAAAGAGAGCTGAAATCAGAACCGGCCCCACGTGAGTTCCTGGCTACATGCTTGTAAAAGAGCTCTAAGCCCATCGGTCAACAACAAGACACACGCCCACACACACACACACACAAAGGCATTCCGTCTGTCAGGTAGTATATCAACCAATCATTAGACCAACCAACCAACCAATCGATCAATCATTCAATCAATCAGCCCCCTGATGCCTGAAACTCCCACAAAGGTACTGTGGCGGTTGCACTCTGTCAGTCCGGCGTGTACCCGTACAACAAGTGATCGAATCCGAACTCCGATGCAGTCTCCAAGACGAGTACCACTTCTTAGTTAATCTATGCACGTTGATGGTGACTGCCTACAATATGTAGTAGCACTGGCAGTCATGTCATCGTCTGTAGATAGAACCGATATTCGTTTCGTGTTGGGGAAGGACCATTGCATGTCATGAACCAAATGGCCCTGATGGCAAGGCTCACTCCGCTGCCGCACGCCTCTCCGCCGCCACCTGTGGATGTCGCAAGCACTTCTGCAGCAGCAGCCAGGGTTTTAACCTCAGCAACCTTGATATGCAGAGTAGAGTCGTAGCCTGAAGGTCTTCTTTGGGGAGTTGGAACCTTCCAAGTGCCCTTGAAGAGAGGTTTAGGGTTTAGGGGTGTAGAGTTCAGGGTTTAGGGTTTCATGAATCGAAGACTTGTAAGCCGTACTGGAGGGTGGGTGGGCCGCAGACCTGCAGTACCTACTCGGGCAAGAAGATGAACTATCTGCTGCAACATACCCAAAATAGCACAAAAGCCTTAGATAGTATGGTCTTTGAGACAAAAAGCCTTAATTTTCGAGTCCTTACTATCCACTAGGGATAGCCCCTAAAAGCCTCGGCGGCGTCAGATCCTAGCACCTACTTGAGAATGAGGAGAAGCAGCAAATTTCACATTTTGCCCCCCAGGCTTCCTTCTACTCTTGGCCGAGTGCGCCCCCGATTCCAAAACCAATGAGCCCGCATGTTGTACGCTTCTACAGAACGCGAACACAAGCATTCGCTACACCCCAAACTCGAAGCCTTGCCCCGCTCCCAGGCGCCAGAAGCGATCTGCAGCGTGGCAGCATTCAGAGTTTGGGGACTTCCAGGTCATACGATCCCATTTAGGTAGCCCGAAGAGGCTGATCCCCACTCTAGTTAGAACCTGATCTTAACCCTCAAGACCTACACATCGATCTCCTGAACAAGTACTATAGGGGCATAGCTACCAATAGTATTCCCAGGGCTTTTTCTTAAAGTTATATTATAGCAAGATATACGAGCATTAAGCCTTATTCTAAGTATTATGAGCAGAACGATCCCATGGCCTTCGGAATCGGGCATTCAGGAGTTTTGCCCCCTTTCTGCAACCGTCGCTGGGTTGGCTTCCAGGCTAGTCCCTTCAAACATTAAATGCTTTGGGTAAGGCTGCACGTTTTGACCCGGTGACATACTTCCTGTGAACTCAGACTACTTGAAATCTGGTAGGTTTAAGTAATACAGTGGCCTAGATAATTGCCAGGATTCATCCGACTCTCGTAGCTTAAACATAACAGCAATGCCCTGAACGATATGTCCAATATTTGATTGACTACTCAGGCTCTCATATTCATCATCGCCAGAGGGTCCCTATGGACGTTAATCCTGACTTTTAGCGTGAGATGGCAACCGGAAGCTGTCAGTCTCAACCCCCTTACCCCAACCATATGCCACATGCCCTGATCTTTCAGAGCACAGAAACCAAGGTTACGAGTAATTCAGTTTGTTCAGGGGAGCCGTTACGAGGGTTCAGAGCCTTGTTTTGGGCTTAGGCCTAAACCTTAAACACCAAATCCCTGACAGCAACCCTTCACCGGAACCCTTTAAAGGAGCCCCATAGAGTTTCCCCCCTGTCCAGGGTAAGCGCGGCGTCAGTCGGGGAAGAGGGCCAGGCCTTCCCGAATGGTTTAGGGCTTGCGGTTTAGAGTTCTGGGGTTTAGGAATCAGGGCTTAGGGTTTAGGTTTTAGGGCCCCTTAGTTCAAGGTCCTAGGCTAGGGTCAAGAGTTCAGGGTTGAGGGCCTAAGGTGTTCGGTTCAGCGCTCTTTTGTGTGGAAACAGGAGCCCTATGCGGTAAACTTCATGGGCTTAGGGCGGCCCCATCGACCAACAGTGGGAGTTTCAGCTACATAGTTTCATGATTCATGAAAGCTGCATGCAGGCACGGATGGACGAAATATGTGGACGGATGGAAGGATGGGTGGGTGGCTGCTTGGACGGATGGAGTAATGCGTAATTGGATGCAGGTCAGTGAACAAGTAAGCACGCAGCGATGACACCATCAACACAACCAGAATGTACAGCAAAACGTGACAGGATCAGGGGAACAGCCCCAAAGTTATATGTCACGGCAAGTGCTGGCACGCAACTGAACTAAAGGCATGTGCTAGGTAGTAGGTGTGAAGATCTTCAATTTTCACTGATATTTGAGCCGTAGCTCTTGTGCCAGGCCCCGCCACCTCCAGCAGAAGCATCGAAGGTACAGAGCCGTTTCGGGGGGCTCTCTGAGGGCTTCAATCGAAGACTTGCGCCATATTATCGGGCGGAAATAATCTTGAAGCCTCTCCCAAGCCCTAGACCCCGCCTTGTTTCATCGGGCTCACTGGAAGCTTTCTTAATTTTGAGGCCTTAATTATTAGAATAGGGTCTGGGGGTATATTATGCCATAGTTATAATTACCCCCCAAAACCCCATTCTAATTATCAATGCCCCTACAGTACCCTAAGGGTCCAAGTACCTAGTAATCATATACTCTCCCAAAGCGTAACCTCCGTAACTACTATCCGAAACCTAGGTCGCCGATTATTGGGCCCTTTGGGCCCTTAGGCTTAGGTCAAGTTGCAGGTTAAGTGCCGTCGCATCCTCTGCATCTCGCCAGAATCTGCATTTCTATGTGGGGGTTTCCGACCTTTCTCTGGAGGTCCTTATCATCAGGATCCTACTATTGAGGGTACTAAAATAGGGGGGGTGCCTATGTTCGGAAACCCCGTATCTCTATTTGGGGTTCGAGCTTCTTTCCAGCATACGTGCCTGTTGCCTGCTTGTGGTAGTATGACTGAGCGTTGTACACTTCCATCGTGGTTCCTCCAATATGAAGCTGAGTTTACGCGTTATTGACAGCGATTGCAAGTGTTACAATATGGCTATTACTAGTACGGCCAATACGTTTCATGTCGAAACTGTTCTCGTGCACCAAGTCGGGGTTTCCTGAAGCCAAAGAGCGTCTGCAGGAGGAGCCCAAGCGGTGTCACCTCCACACAAAGCCGAACCGTTGGTGCAAAGCATGCCGGAGGCCTACAAGCTTCAGTTTCTGCAGCTGTAGGGCTTCCTTCCGAGGGGTCTACTGTAGTTGGGATGCTCGCATTTGGGGTTCCAATTTAGCCTTCTTCGGCTATGTGCAGAGATCGAGTACTTCCTGGTGTATGGTGGGCACCGGCCAGGCATCAGCTCAAGCCCACCGTGTGAAGGTTTGATACTAACATCAGTGCTTGGTCTGGTGGTGTGGTATCTGAAATTGGGAAGATTTGCTTTAGCATGTTTCTTGAGGAGTAGAAATCGGTTGTTCTGGGTGCACTCTGTTTGGCCGTGCTTTTAGGAGCTGGGGGGGTGCACAATTTGGGGTCGTGGGTTCCCAAACTGTGCTATCGGAACCCTTCACCCGGACGTGAGCCCCAATGCCCCATTCATGCACATGCGTGTATGTTCACGTATGTGCCTAGGTAGGTATGAAATTAGGTAGGCAGGCAGGCAGGGAGACAGTTAGGTAGTTTCGGTAGGAAGGTATGCTTGTGATATATGTGCATATATGCACATATATCACAAGCATGAATAAAGACAATGTGTGTGTGTGTGTACATATAGCTATACACACACACACATATATATATATATATATATATGGTCACCCCCCCCCCCCCCATGACAGACCATGCCCTTTCGACTCAGTCGTAGTGCATGGTCTGTGATCGGGGGGAGGGGGCACTCAGCTTTCAAAGCCTCAATTCCAAAATTTCCAAAATTTCCAAAATTCTCTCCCCTAACTTTCCGGATTTCCAAAATTTCCAAAATTTCCAAAATTTCCGAAATTTCCAAAATTTCCAAAATTTCCAAAAAAAAAGTCCGCCCTTATGTTTTGGAAAAATCCTGTCGACTAGGTCGGGAAATTTTGGAAATTTTGGAAATTTCGGAAATTTTGGAAATTTTGGAAATGCGGAAAGTTAGGGGAGAGAATTTTGGAAATTTTGGAAATGCTGGAATCTGTTCTATATATGACTCAAGTAAGATTACTGTGTAGTGCTTACTATGTAGTGTATCAGCACAACCCTCATCCATACACGTGTGCTCTGTAATTCCTTTCTTGGTAGGACACCCGCGCGCCTTGTCGTGCTAGTCTCCGCATCGGACCAGATTACTTGCAAAGGCAAGGGCTGTCAATACTCATGCCCATATTTACACGAATATCTCTCTATCTATCTGTATATCTATATATACATATATGTATTGATACTCCTACATATAGTATTGCCATTGAACATACTGACATTGAGCATTTGTTGAATGCTCAAGCTAATACCAGCATTACTACTAATATTACACTTCTATAAAGCTTAGTACGAATATGCATAACACAAATACTAAGATTGATTAGTATTGCTCTTAGTACTCCTACGCATATCAATAACTATATTCATATTGATAATAATGTATAATAATACCAATACTAACACACACCTGTATGTACTAATGTACATAAACATGCATACCACCATATTAAAATACAAATCCTTTAACTCACTCATGAATTCAACTGTTAGAATTTCACGTGGTCAAGAGTAATAACAATACAAACATTCTTTCGAATGTATATCATCAATAATATGATAGTACTAACGCTAACACTACTGCTAATACTTAACACAAAATCTATACTAACATCAATATTTACATAGCTATTTATACTCCTACGAATACGAATACGTAAACCCTTGTGCGTTAACAGTAGTGCTATCACCAACACTAATACGGACTTTGATAATCTGCTGCATATTCAAGAATGCCACTAGTATTACCAGCATGAACACTCATATTATGGCTATTACGAGTATAAATAGTCCTACTTCTACTAGTATTGACATTAATACTCCTACGAATACCAATAGTATATTCATATTGATATGAAAACTAATACCATTACTAATAGACACCTGCATATACTCATGTACATAAAATACGTACCACTATCTTAAGATACAGATATATACATCAGTGCATTCATGTATTAATGCTTTGGCATAGGCATATACCCATATACCAATGTATCAATATACTTCTCGTTGTTGTATGAATATACTATACGAATATGTGACTATAATCATATACGGCTACTGCACTATGCAAGAATACCGACATGACAAGTTCGTATACTAATATGCCAACATACTGATATACTTATACATGATTAGATAAAACAGTAATATAGTACACATATTCGTACACTAATATGCTAACGTACGAATATACTGGTATGTCAATATACTAGTAAGCTAATACAGCAGTATAGTAGTGTAGTCATGCACCAGTTGTACTAACATGTAAAATATACTAGTATACAAGTATGCAAATATTTTGCTGTCCGAATACATTGATGTATTGATATACTAATCTGCTAATATACGAGACTATCAATATACTAACATATCAAAACTAACTAGTTCTAATATTGATACTAATACTAGCACTTCTGCGAATATAAGCTGCTGTTAAACCCAGCATTAAGACTGATACTGATACTACTCGTAGCAGTGGTGCTGTATTACTGACATTGACACTGGCACTAGCGCTAACTCTAACACGAACATGAGCACTAACACTAATTTATAGTTGGCAATATTGATACGTATACTTACAGCAAGCAATAGTACTACCTGGAGTTTCGTTTGTCATCTTTATTTCTGCTCGAAGGCTGTTTGATACACTTCTTGTGGGATTGTACCACTTCTTGTGCTTTCGGCTAAATATCGTGGGGTTCGAGCGTTTCTTGGGTTTTGATGGCTAAGCTCTAAATAATTCCCCTCGAAAGCCATATCGGCTTTACTTCAACACCGAACCATGACGGTACAACTGACTTCATGAAGTGCGCCACCCCCCAACGTGTTGTATGTCTGTGCATGCTGAAGCTTTGCTGCAGCTGGCCACGATGTTGATGACCACCATAATACCTGGGCAATTGCAGGTACATTTGATGGTGCGAGCGCCTTTGCTCGTGATTCTGTTCTTTCTGAGGTGGGCCTGCCACATTTATATGCATGGGTGTCACTCGATCGAGTATCAGCTTGTGTGCGATCTGTGGTGGTTGTGGTGCCGCTAACTTACCACTGTGTAAGACGCAGCTGCTTTCCAAGTATCGAATGTCATGCGCAATGCACATGGATGTAGCGCATGGCAATATTGCATGCACCGTACATTTTCCATTCGCATGCAGCGACATGCATGCTTGGCATATGTGCATGGGGTCTCCACTAGCTAATTGGGCCTCGAACCTTTGTGTCTGTTGCTCACGATGATGGCGAATGTGGATCCGGTCCTGATTGCCTGGGGTTCGAGTGAAGAGATCATGGTGCGATTATCCACCAAAGGCGGGTCAGTTTTGGTGCTTTCCGGTCCTTTGAACAGGGATGCTGTGGTAGCCAATGGCTGCTTGCTGGGACCTCTTATGAAGCAAGTCGGCCCCTTGCCTGTCTAAGTAGTCTTATATAGTCGAAAATACTTGCATGCATGTTCCTCGATCTATATAAGCTCCCCGACTAATACCATGGCCCAGGTTTACGTCCCAGCATCGATATATGCTTCGAGTTCCTGAACCGCTTCTATGCTTCTTACAGACCTATGGCGAAGCCCATGCCATCACGAAACTCGAAAGCATGACGCAGCTGGAATCGAAAGCTTAGGACCCATATGTAGGCTGCCAAAGCTAAGGTACTGAAGTCAGAACAGAGGCGTGGATACTGAAACGCCTCGTGTCAATTTTCTCCCGTGCGGCCAAGAGGCCGCATACCCCGCGCAATCCCCGATTCCGCGAGATCTTTGTCGCCGCTGGAATAGAGTTGCCTCAGGGTGGAGAAGGAGTCGCCATGCAGTCATCGTCATGCACAGATAGCGAGCCCCTTAACCCTAAATAACCCATAATTTTAAACCGCCTGAAGCAGGAAGTGGCAGCGGCAGTGATGGTGGGACTGAGTCTGACTCCTCATCCAGCTCAGACAGCGGTGATGAGGATGCTGGTGTCGCACTTCGTGCTGCCAGTGTCTTGGGTGGCGGTGGTGACGCAGCAGCTATGGAGGTGACGCATGGCCGTGGTGATGAGCAGGAAGAACGAGCCCTCCGTGATGTGTCTTGCTCTATTGTCTGAGGTGAGTATGGGGGTCTGCTCTCGTTCCCCTCTCAATCTCTCTCTCTCTTTCTCTCTCTCGCTGGTGTGTCTCCGTGTGAGTCTGTGTATGCATGTGTTTCTGTATACGAGTTTGAAGGTAAACATGCTTGTGCTAGTTGCCATGCTTGAAAGCCTTATGGTCTGGGATCCTAGGCCATTGCTCTGTCTATGGAAGAGCCAGCACCCCCGCCATCAGATATGGTCCTAGAACTTCCACTTCCACCTCGAGGCTCTGCTCCCTCAGAAGGTTTCTTGTCGATTCTTAGAACTAGCATAGTCAAACCGAAGGGGTGGATTCATAGTACTCATTAAGGTAGCTCGGTCTCCGGCTCGACGACCTCGAGTGTCGTGGTGACTCCTCCACCGAAGCCTCGCAACTTGCATCATATATGTGTCTGTGAGCAGTTTCGGAACATGCTGTACATGCAGGTTGGCTGCTGCACCGAGGTATTGAGGAACCTGATTCGCCGCAAACCCTCTACAGGAAAAGGGCTTGGCATTATACGGTCAAAGACAGGAAGCTGGGCTACTTGTGTTTGAACTGCAACCAGAGCAAGCAGGATATCACTACATTCAAGAATGAAAGGTGCCCAGCCGGCCCGCCCCCCGAGGTCAAAGCTCCTGTTGTGCTTGATGCCAAACCTCTTGAGGTTTCTGAGCCTCCCCCTGCCAAACTTGCTGCTCCATCTTTCTTAGAGGATGCTGAGATTGCAGCTGCATTGCAGTTGGAAGAGGAAGAACTAGGAAGGCTTCAAACCCTTGAAGCTCTTATGGAAGAGCAACAGCATCTTGAAGGCCTCCTTCTCCAGCTCGAGACAAAGGTCGCGGGATCCAAGTGCAAGGAGATGCCAGCGAC